AGAAACAGGGACACGTTACCCAAACCAGGCAGAAACAGAGCTGGGGCCAGACACTGAGCCCACAGAGGTCCCCACTCAGCATCCTCAGGGACACACAGTCCTGCTCCTCCTGTAGAGCCAAGACTGTTTCCTGGCCCAGCAGTGGGCCCTCACCAAGCCAGCAAAGCCAGGGCTCTCCTTGAGCTGCAAATACAGAGTTGGGCCAGATTATTTCATCCCTATCCCAAAGCACAGCTTTGAACAGCACCCTGCAACCAGCCCTGCACCCTCCTGCGCTGCCCCAGGGCTGGCAGACCCCAAAACACAGCTTTGAACAGCACCCTGCAACCAGCCCTGCACCCTCCTGTGCTGCCCCAGGGCTGGCAGACCCCAAAGCCCAGGAAAAAGCAAGCAGCCCTTTTGTTTTATCCCGCTGATTAGCCAATGTGCAGCGTTAATCATTGACCCAGGTGCAGGGCAGGGAAACCTGAGCTGCCCGGGCTGAGCCCACCCACTCCCAGCTCCAGAGCTGCCACATCCCAGCACCCCGAGATGCTGCATAGGAAGGGGCACACTGGCAGCAGAGGCTGAGCTGGGGGTGTTGAAGGTGTTTAGTGGGAGCAGTGGGGGTGCTGGTGCTGGCCAGGATGTCCCTGACAGCGCGGGCAGGGGGGATACACCGGTCCCATCCCAGTGCGGAGAAGGGAACGGGTCCTCATGGTGGCAGAGGAGTAGGAGGACCCAGGTAGACAGTTTGGGGGTTCCCACCCCTCAGCCCTGAGCCCGAGACGAGCTGTTTTCTGCATGGAAACACTTTCCAGAGCAGTTGATCCATCCATGGTGGGCGTTGCACTGGGTGAATCCAGGGGTGCCCTGGGGCTGTTTGGTCACACCCCCCCAGGCAGCAGTTCAGCTCCATCCCACCCACAGCCCACCTGCATCCCACCGGGGCAGGAATCACGGGTTGAGGGCTTCAGGCTCTGGGCTGGCGTCCAGGGAACCCCAGGAGCCACCACATCACCATCTCGCCTTTGTTTTGGAAAGCCAGGGCAGGAAGGAAGCGCGTGGTGGAAAGCGCCCGCGCGGGGAGGAGGGGACGGCTGGGGATGGGTTTCCACTGCGTAACCCCGGGCCAGGCGTGGTGGTGGTGGCTGGGCCAGCCGGGCAGGAACAGCCGCCCGGGGCGGAACAATGGCAGCCCAAGGGGAAGGAATTATTTTCCACTGAGTTGGGCTAAACCTCAGCCTGTTCCCACTGCCCCCGCTCAGGGCTGGGCCACTCAAACAGGGATTAGCCACCACCCAGCAGAGGACTGGTGGCAGTTGGGGAAAATCTCCTGCTGTGGATGAGCAAAAAGCCGGGGCTGTTTTCCAAAGCCTCTTCCAGCTTGAGCTCGGACACCTGGGGTCTTCCCTACTTGGCTTAAACCCATCACCATCACATCCCCTCCCAGTGCCTCCTGCTTGGCAGATAGAGCCCCAGCCCTGCTGAGTGCCTGCACCTTGGGTGTGGATTTGCTGTAACTCCCACAGAGAAAGGAGCCCCCAAAAGCCCTTGAACTCCTGCAGTGGTTCAGCCAAAGGTTTCAAGGTCATGGTGACACTGAACATCCTCCTGGCTGGACCTGCTCCAGGGTCCCTCCCTGGGACAGGTGGCTGCTCGTCCTGCTGCCACATGGAAACAGATTACATGTCCTGGGGATGGGTCTCTCCTCCCTGCCTCACCAAGGGTCTCACCAGCCCATGCCCTCTCTCCCCAGCTCATGTCCCTGCCTCGCCCTGCATGGCCCCAGCGAGATGAGCCCCCGTCCTGCGGCACCACCACCGGCCTCCCTCCGGCCTCCTCCGACAGCGACTCCGGCTGTGCCCTGGAAGAGTACCCGGAACCCCCTGCGGACCCCGCACCCCCCGAGGTGGGCAGCACCCTGGTTCTCCCCCAGCTCCGTGGGTGCCATGCACGGGAGGTTCCCACAGCAGAGCCCTGGGATTAAACACATTCTAGCAATGCAGCTCAATCCCCCTAAAATTCTGCCTGTCTCTCTCTCCCGTGCCCCCTCCCAAGGCCCCGCCGTGCCTCGGCCCCCGCTCGCCGCAGCCCGGCTCTCCCTCCGACAGGACGCGGCTCCGCGCCAGAGCCCTCCTGCAGCAGCTGCCTCCCCAGGACTGCGATGTAAGACACCTATTTTTGGGTGCTGCCCACCCCTGGCTTCCCCCCCGTGCCCCGCTCACCTCCGTATCCCCGTGCAGGAGCGGTACTGCCCCGAGCTCGCCGAGGAGGAGCGGCGGCAGCTGCGAGCGTTCAGCGCCCGCCGGAGACGGGAGGCCCTGGGCCAGGGGCTGGCACGTCCCGTGCCCGGTCCCTGCCATGGCTGCCCCTGCAGGAAGGTGAGGTGTCCCCCCCAGCAGCCGTTCCCTGGCGGGGATCTGTCCCCAAAAGCCAGCCTGGCCCCAAACCCCGCATCCCTTTGCCTTGCAGTGCGGCAGGAGGCTGAACAAAGGCGACCCGGGGATTTCAGCGTCTCGGCTGGGGGACCAGTTCTGGCACCCGTCCTGCTTCTCCTGCCACTTCTGCCACCAGCCGCTGGTGGATCTCATCTACTTCCAGCAGGATGGGAGGATCTACTGTGGCCGGCACCACGCTGAGCTCTTCCGACCCCGCTGTGCCTCCTGCGACCAGGTGGGTGCTGGGCAGGGGGTGGCTTTGACCTCCCTTCGGCCGCTCAAAGCCCCTGCTCTTGGCTGGGGGCTGCGAATCCAGCAAGAACCGCTGATGGGCAGGAGGAAATGTTCCTTCCTGAGCCTTGCTGAGATCCCCGTGCCCATGCCACGGGATGGGGGCTCTTCCTCGCTCCTCAGCATGGCAAAGCATCCTCCAGACTGTGGGTTCTCCCGCTGGGCGCTGAGGATGGGTTGTTTTCCTGCTCCAGCTGATCTTCATGGAGGAGTGCATCGAGGCCGAGGGCCGGCGCTGGCACCTGGAGCACTTCTGCTGCCTGGAGTGTGACGTGCCCCTGCGCGGGCAGCGCTACGTGATGAGGAGCGGCCGGCCCTGCTGCCGCGCCTGCTTCGAGAGCCTCTTCGCCGAGCCCTGCCAGGCCTGCGGGGACCCCATCGGTACGGCCCGACCCCAGCCCGGGGGGGCTGCCCGTCCCTGCCGGGTGGGCGGGGGGTGGGCTGGGAGGGCTGCGGAGGACGGGTTTTGGCACACGGGGTTTTGGCACACGGGGTTTTGGCACATGGGCGCGGGAAGAGCCTCCCCCTCACCTGTGGTTGCCCCCCCAGGTGCTGACAGCGAGGGGGCCACCCACCAAGGGCTGCACTGGCACGCCCGGGCCGCCTGCTTCTGCTGCAGCCTGTGCCGAAAGCCGCTGCGGGGACAGCCCCTCACCTGCCGCCGCGGCCGCCTCTTCTGCTCCGACGCCTGCAGCCTGCGCCAGGGCTCGTCCTCCTCCTCCAGCGCCTCCGACTCCTCCGACTCGGCCTTTGCTTCAGCTCCGTCCCCGGACTCGACGCCCCTGTCCCGAGCTGGCCCGGCCAGCAGGACCACGCCGGGGTCCGGTGGCCCCTCGGCTCCAGGGGGCTGCAGGCAGCGCGTGGAAGGGGCTGGTAGGATCCTATGGGGGGGAACAGGGGCAATTCCAGGCTCTGCTCAGCCCCTGGGTGCTTCATGGGGAACGTCACACGGGGGCAGCCCAGTTTAGGGCTGGAGCAGCAGCGATGAGCCCCCAGCCCACCTCTCGTGGGAGGGCGAGCGGTGGGAGCTGGGGGTGGGCTGCTGCCACCTCCCCCGATGTCCCAGGGCAGCCCTCGGTGCACGAGGGTCTGTGGGAGGGCAGGCTCAGCCTTCTCCTTCCTCATTTACCCTTGCTTTCCTTCTTCCAGAGGCGCTTTTGGATCAGGCCCCTGTGCATCCTGCGTTCAGGAGCCCAGAGGACCACGGAGCAGCTGCCAAGGAGCGGAGCAGCGATGCTGTGCACGCAGGACCACCAGCCACCCACCCCTCCGCCCCCCAGCCCAGCCCAGAGGGGCCCAACGAGCCTGGAGCCTTGGGCCACCCACATTTGGGGGGCCCTGACCCCCGAACACCCATGGGCCATGGAAACCCCCCCTCCCGAGCGGGCACGTCCCCCCCCCGGCACAGCCCCCGGCCGGAGCACATCGACCTGCAGGACATCACGGAGGAGGAGGACTCCTGGTGTCCCACCTGCTCCTCATCTTCGGACTCGGACTCGGAGGAAGAGGGTTTCTTTTTTGGGAAGCCCATCCCCAAGCCCGGGATGAATTCCCTGGGCAGGGAGCCCCCGGGGAAGGCTGGGGGCAGGACGGCCAAGCCCCGGGGCAGCAGCAAACACTGCAGTGTGTCCTAGCAGTGGGGACACGGGGTCCCTGACGTCCTGCCAGCCCCTGCTGGGTGCTGCCACGGTCTCAACATGTTCCAAGTGCGTTTTGGACGTGGCCCAAGGCTGGTGGGAGAAGCTGCTGGGATCCTTCCCCCCCGGCAGCTGCTGGCAAAGCACAGCCTGCAATTCCTGCCGGCCTCTCCCGCAATTAGGAACAGGTAAAGCAGGAAGGGAGCAGAGCTCACCTGGGCTCCAGCACCTCAGACATGGCAGCAGCTCCAGGGAGAGCAGCCGGTGCTCCTGACAAGGGCAGCTGCCTGCACCAGACCTCTGGGCCAGGGTCGGATCCTTTGGATCCTTCCCTGGGACTCCTCCTTGCAGGATGAGCACCACTGCCACGTGCTCTCCATCTCTGGTGCCACCACGTCCTGGTGGCACCGCGGGGAGGGACCAGGGGGGCAGCTCTGCTGCTGCCAGTGACAAAGCTCCAATAAAGTTTGGCTGAAATCTGAACGCAGGAGGGTCACCCACTGTGACACCGACCGTGCCACCAGGGCAGTGTGATCCCAGTGTGACCTCTGCCCTCTGCCACACCCCCCACGCTGGGTTCACTGTAGGAACCCTCCCTCACCTACCCCAGGAGAGCGGGATCAGAACGACGGCGGAGAGAGGGCTGCAACAAGAACAGGGTTTATTTTTAGATTTTAAACCAAGAACAACTCCTGGGGTTTGTGGGCACATCCCGGGGAACCAGGAATGGAGTGAGGAGCCTGGATGGAGGAGAGGGGCTGCTGCTCTCTCTCCCTCCCACCACCAGCCAGTAACACCAGCTCCTCCTTTGGCTGCACACAGAGGTTTGGGCAGGGTTAAAACTAAGCATACCCCCACCTTCCTCCCTCTCCAAGAGATATGGTGGGACTGCCAACATGTCCATGCCACTCTGACCCGCAGGCTCAGCACCACCTGAGCACGGCAGTGCCCTGGCACAGCCCCCCATCCCTCCCAGCCCGGCTGGAGGAGGGGGTGTCTCCTCAGGGGCTGGAGGTGGCTGAGTCGTAGCTGTCGATGAAATTCTCCAGCTCCTGCACGTGGTGGATCCAGCCCTGGCGCAGGTTGGCCCTGAGTGCCAGCCCCAGGGGTGCCTCCATGGAGGGCTCCTTCTGCAGCAGCATCGTGGCCACCACCGCGAAGTTGAGGCTGAACTGCTGGTACGACTGCAGGGCCGCAGGGTCAGCACCCCAAACCAGCAGCACACAGCTCCCCTGAGGGGTATTCCTCCCCCCACGCCCATGTTTTGGTCCACAACCCTCCTGGCAGCACCTGAGCCCCTGCAAACCCCTTCCGAGCAGCTTCCCCTGCAATCGCCATCACCAGGAGGGGTTTCCCACTGCCCCCCAAAACGCCGAGTGCACATCCTGTCACCCAGCATCGCTCCAGAAGGTCCTGGCCTGAGTCCCCCTCATCCTGCAGCAGGTCCCAGAGCCCCACACCCCTCAGCCAGGGGCCCCCAGGACTCACCAGCTCGATGGCCGCCTTCCTGGCGAGGACGGCGGCGGAGCGGAGATCCAGGCGGGATGGGGAGGGTGTCGGGAGCCTGAAGCAGAGCTGCTGCTGTCCATCCCCTGCCTGGGGGGTGGGAGAGGCAAGGAAAGATCAGATACTTTGGCAGGAACAGGGACTGGGCCAAACTGGGGCTGCCAGTACTGATTAGCCAGAGACTGGTCACCCTCTGAGGGACCTGCTGGGACTTTGGCTCCCCAGGGTTTCCCCCTTTCCCTTGGGTGCCAGAGCTGCCCCTGCTCCCCCTCTGCCCCAGCCCCAGCAGGGAGAGCTTCCAGCAGATTTCTGTCCCCCGTTAGGCAGTAATTAAGCTGCTCTGGAGTGCTCTCCTTGGCTTTGTTAAAGCTCCAGTCCTGGGGTTGTTCATGCTCCACACACTCCCACACACAAAATAACTCCAGTTATTCTGTTGGCCTTTCTCCAGCCCTCTCCCATTTATTGGCATCAGGGGCCGATACGGGCTCTGCCTCCAGACAAAGCAGCTCTTTAACCCCAGCCCAGAATCCTGCTGGGGTTCCAGAGGGATCCCACTCCACTGCTCCTGCTGTGGCAGTGCCCCCAGGCCCAGGGGACCAGCCCCATGTGGGGACCCAGGGGGGCACCCGGACCCCATACCAGGTTTGTCTCACTGGAGCCAGGAGAGTGCTGGGGCTCCGGTGAGGTCCTTGGTGAGGTGCAGGGATCAGGACAAGCCTGGCTGGGCTCTGCATCAGCTTCTGCTGCAGGTCCTGGCGGGACCTGAGAGTTTTCAGGTGGCTGAAGGCTCTCGAGAAGCTGTGGGAGAGAGAGGGGCTGGGGGAGGAAGGCAGGGGCTGTGCAGGAGGGGGCAGCCAGTGCTGCCAGCACAGCCCCAGCTGCAGCAGAGGCCTCGAGGGGCTCTCACCTGGGGAGGGGGACACGCCACAGAGCTGCCCCATGCTCTGAGACCCACCCCATCGTGGGCAGCTTCTGCCTCAGCTTCTCCAGCTCCACTTGGCAAACGCTGCTCTCCCCGGGAATGTGGGCTCAGCTCAGCACCCACCTCTGCAGAGCCGCTGGATGCCGGCTGTTCCCTCTCAGTGGGATCCAGAGGGGCTGCTGGGCTGTGGGGATGTGGCCCATCACCTGTGCCAGCCTCGGGGACAGCTGGACTGCCCCGCTCTACCTGTGCAAGGAGTTACAGGAGCGCTGCAGAGCCCACGGCGAGGGCGAAAAAGGGTCTGGAAAGGGGAATGTGCCTCCTCCCAGGCACTGATTTTGGGTGGGAATAAAAACTATCCATAGGGGAAGCAGCGTGCTGCTGGTGGGGAGGATCTGGGGAGCCCTGTGCTGACTCTGTGCCGCTCCCTGGGAATCCCATACCTTGAGGTGCTCCCCTGCCCTGGCAGAGTTCTCCTCCAGTGGGATTGGCTCCGCTCCCAAAGCACAGGGATCCTGGTCCTGGCTGCCCAGAGGTGTCTGCTCAGCTCCTGGCTCATCCTGGGGACAGGCAATGGCGTGAGGCTGGGACATGTCTGTCCCAGGAGAGGAGCTATGGGACAGGACCCACGGGGTGCTGAACCCCAAAGGAAACCACGGGGCTTTGCAGCCCCAGAGAAGAGTCTGGAAAAACTCCCATGCCTGGCAAGGAGACAGCGAGGTGGAGAGTGAAAGGGCTGGATGAGAGAGAGGAGGGAGGCGTTACAGTGGCCGAAGAGCCCTGGGGGTGCAGCCCCCCTGCCTGCCCTGGGAGCAGGGAATCTCCTACCGGTGTCCCCGGAGCCGCCTGCTCCGGCCCCGCAGCGCAGGGATCAGTGGCCGGGCTCCTCGGAGGGGTCCTGGCTGGCTCAGGGGTCTTGGGGACCTCCCCACTCCCCTCTGGCAGGTCCTGGGGGAAACCACGACAACACACAGGGCTCAGACCGAGCCCCCTCGGGTCACTGCTGGGAGCTGGGATGGGGGGGGGGCAGGTAAAACCCCCCAACCTGGCTCTGTTCCGGCCTCTCCACAGGCCCCTGGGGGGACGCGGGTGGCTGGGGAGGATCAGGGGGCTGCAGCTCTTTCCTGGCCACCGGCTGGCTCGTCTTGGGGCGGGGAGGAGAGGCCCTGGAGGGTGGTTTGTGCCCTGCAGAGCGGGAAACAACAGCAGCAGCTCCTGGCTCTGCTCAGGGAGATGCTGGAGAGCACCAAGGAAGCAGGAACGGGGGCAGCACAAACCTCTGGGGGGTCTGGGACCCCACCCACACGGGATCGGGGTCAGCTCCCGGTGGCTCCTGCGAAGGCGTCGGCCGTGTCTCCCCCTGGGGGGGTCACAGTCCCAGGGGGGGTCACAGTCCCAGGGGGGGCCCCCGCCATGGAACCCCCCTCGTCTCCTGCAGCAGCAAAGGCAGCCCCGGGGCCGGGGGGCACTTTAGGAAGGGGTCTCCAGTGCAATCCCCCTCTATGCTGAGCAGGGCCAGGAGTGTCACCCCGTGGCTGTGCCCCCACGCAGTGCCCACCCCCAGCGCCCCTTCGTGCCACCCCACAGCCACACAGACCCCCTGAGCCCCCCCCGTGGCTGTGCCCCCACGCAGTGCCCACCCCCAGCGCCCCTTCGTGCCACCCCACAGCCACACAGACCCCCTGAGCCCCCCCCGGGCACGGCACTCACCCTGGTGGGCCAGCAGGATGCCAGGGTGGGGGCTGCTCCTCCTCCAGGGGGGGTTCAGGACAGGGGCCAGGCTGCCACTCCTGTAGGAAAGGGGGTGGGTTTAGACAGGGAATGGGACAGGGAATCCTGCGACAGCAGAGCGGAGGCTGAGCTGGGAAACCCGTCCCCACACCCTGTCCTTGTCACCAGGGCAGTGAGTGGCCCCTGCCCCATTTTACCCACTCCCCAGCCTCAGTCCTGCAGCTGCTACCACCCCCCAACCCACAAGCTCACCAGGAACCAGTCCTGTGTGAAGTCCTCCTGAGGTCCTCTGCCATCCCAGGGGGGCGGGGGGTAGTCGTGGGGTGCCCATATCCTGTCCTCCTCCTCCCCGTTCCAAGGGATGCCATCAGGGCCAGGGAAGGGTCTGGGACCCCTGGGATGATGCTGCAACAAGGAATGGTTGCCCATGAGGATGGTGGCACACTGAGGACACTCACAAAGCTGCCACCCCCTCAGCCCATCTGCCCCTCACCGGGTTCCAGCCCTCTCCAAAGTCATCCACAGGCCCTCGGATTTCTTCTCTGTCATCCCAGGGGGGTGCTGGGGGATAGTCATGGGGTGCCCATATCCTGTCCTCCTCCTCCTCCGCGTTCCAAGGGATGCCATCAGGGCCAGGGAAGGGTCTGGGGTCCCTGGGGCTGGGCTGCAATGGGGAATTGTAGGTGAGGACAGCAGCTCACTGGGATGTTCTGGTTTTCCTGCTGTTCCCCCTCCCCACTAAGACCCTCAGCTCTTTCTGCCCCTCCTGCTCCCAGGGGAGCCCCTGATTTTGGCTACCCTGGATTTGTAGGGGAACCTCGACAACACCTTCTTGTAGCAGGACACAATTAGGGTGAAACAGGTCAAATTTCACCTAATTGCAGAGTTACCAGCGGTGGAGGGGGAGTCACGCTGCTGGTGGTGTCCAGGAAAGCTCAGAGCAGCCTGGCTCAAATATCCCAAAATTAAACACCACGAGGATGTGAAACCAAGCGTGTCCTGAGAGCAGTTGGCACTGGAGGGGATGTGGGGGACAGATGTTTCCTGAGAGGAACCAGAGAGCAGAAATAACTTATTTAAGGATAAATGGAGTTGTGCTGAGCTGGCAGGGCTCCCCCAGCAACGCCTCACTGACACTCCGTGGTTTCATCCTATAAAAGCTCAACCCCACCTTCTAACAGTGGGATTTCCAGCACAGTCCTCCTAGGAGTGCGTGTGGATTCCTCCCTGGAGCAGGGACACCCCTCAAGGTCCCTCCCTGAGGCTGAGCCGAAGAGATTTCTGTTGGTCTGGGTGAGTAACATGAATCTCTACTTAATAATTATTAATTTAACTTTGAAACCATTGATTTAATAAACAATGCACTACAGCAATGGTTACAACCATCTATAACATGATTAAGGCCCTTCAGTCTAATCATTACCACCAATGGAAATAAATAATTTATTTTACCTATGTGAATGTATTTGTTTTGCCATTCTTAACCCTGTGGGAGGGAAGTCGTGTGAAGCCTCCATTACACCCGTATAATCCTTCAGGCACAAACTTCTGACCAAGTCTGGGGCTGGATCCGGACTCCTCTGTGCCTGGGGGCTCCAGGGGAGCGTGTCCCTGAGGAACTCTGGCTGAGGGTCCCACTCTTCCCATGGCACATCCCCCAGCCCCTTACCCGGAACCATCCGCCCCGGCCCCTCCTGCGCCGGTGCTTCCAGGGCGGCTCATCCCAGGCGTCCTCGGGGCCGTGAGGGGGGCACGGCCCTGCTCCTGCTCCATCCCCCCACGGGCAGGGCTGTGGAGAGATGAGAGTGGTGAGACCCCCCCTGCGCCCCTGCCCCGGCCGGCTGCTGAGCAGGGACGGGGAGGCAGGAGCCCACCCGCCTCCTCTGCTGGCCGAGGGCCCAGACTGTTCCCAGTTCTTCCCCAAACCACAGCGATGTTCCCCGGGCTCCTCCATGCCCCGAGGGATGGAGCAGCGGGTGCCCACCCTCGCCCCCCAAAGCTCCTCCGCTCCCACCCGCCCTGGCAGTTCCCAGAGCGCCCAGACCCACCTACCTCCCTGGGGAAGCCCCTCCTGCAGCCCGGCGGGGGGAACATCCTGCCCGAAGAACGTCCTGGCCCCTGTCCCAGGAGAGGGAGAGGGGTGGGAAGGAGCCCACGTCCTGGCCCCTGTCCCAGGAGAGGGAGAGGGGTGGAGAGAAGCCCTCGGGGGCGTGGGATCTGCTGGAAGGGAGAGGTGAGGGTGAGCACAGGGTGAGCACGTCCCACAGGACGTCACTGCCGGCTCGGGAACACTGCCACCCAGGTGCCACCCTGTAAGGGGAGGACTTTCGATTTCGATGATCGGTGGAGCATAGAGGGGGAGAAAGTAATTCTATTAGGATGTGAAACCAGCCAGAGTATTGTACAATGTTACTTTATCGCACGAGTTAGCTGTGAGGCCCATTTTGTCTTTAGCCAGTTAACTGGATGTCCCTCATTATCAGAGCCGAGTTCCTCCTTGGCTTGGCTCCCTACTGCAAGATGGACACAAACACCCTTGAAACAGAGCGGTAGAGGTCGTACACAGGGGTGAGGAAGATGATGGTGAGAGGAAGATTGTGTGGGCAGGGGTCGCTGGCCCCTTGCCCTACAGCAGGGCAGGCACAGACTGTTGCTATCAGGGAATGAACAGGCAGGGTTTGGCTGCCACCTTACACTACGTACTGGCCCTACGTGGTGCAATGTAGAGCTGCTAAAATGGGGTGTCAGGACTGCTGGGGTGAGCGATCCTCATCCTGCCATCCTGCCTGTGTTGCTCTGTGGGGACGCCCGCTAAGCACGGGCACCGACCAGCTGCTGCAGATCCTGGCAGCCCTGGCCTGTCTGTGTAGGTGAGCACAGTCTATTGAGAGAAACCAAAAGTTTTATATCCTCTTTTGTATCCCTTTAATTCCCTTTTTACTAGTCAATACTGTAATAAAAGCTGTTTGTAGTATTATACGAATGCCAACCGATAAAGCAGGTTTTTTGTATTCTTTTTTAGCTTTTGATTCTCTTTGCTAGTAGTTGTTTTTTTCTCACTGCAATAAAAGATTTTTTTTTTTTAGTAGTGTTTGAATGTCTGTTGTACTTGCCTTTATTCCGGGCATGCATTCAAAGGAATTAACATGCACCCGCGGCGCTCCCGGAGCGCTGGGACACCTCCAGAGCCCCCCGCCAGCCTGGCATCGCAGTGGGGTGCCAGCCCCGCTCCAGGTTCCATCCCTGCTCCCACGGGACGGTCTGGGCTCTCCACAGGGACGGGAGATGCTCCCCAGGGCAGCCTTCGTGGCTCCCTCCCCGCCGGGCTGGGGGGTCAGAGATCGGGGGATGCTCCGACCCCAAACCGCCCAACCCCCGGCGGGCACTGAGCTGCAGAGCCACCCTCGCCCCGGGCACCGTCGGCAGGGACCACCCCGGGGCAGGGCCGGAGGGAAACACAAAAAACACGCTTTTGTCCCTAAATTGCGGTTTTACCTGGCACGGCAGTCCCGGGTCCTGCAAAACAACACTGAAGTACGGAGGACGGTGGGTTGGAGCGCCTTACATCCCTGAACCCCAATCCTGCACCCTAGCCCTGCACCTATGCACTCCCGACCTGCAGCTCTGCACCCTAATCCTGCACCCCTACGCCCCAATCTTGCACCCCTACGCCCCAGTCCTGCAGCCCCACAGCCCGCTCCGCTCCCTGGGGACGCCGGCTCTCCCCCAGCCTCTGGTTCCACCCCAATATCCGGCGGAACCGATCCCCCTCTCCGAGGAGCTCTCCCGGAGCGCTCCTGTCCCTCCCCCTGGCAGTTTTCCCTCCTCTTCCCATCCCGCTCCCGGCACTGATTCTGCCTCCGAGAGCAAACGCTCCTTACCGAGGGGGCACAGCCCCCCCAGTGCCCGAGGGTGCGCAGACCCCGGGCAGCGCCGCTTCCCTGATCCCCAGGGACAGCCAAAATCCTCCGGAAATCTCGGGTCCATCAGCAAACCGGCCTCAAAGCGGAGTGGGACGAAAGACCCTCGACTGGCACCCCATCAGCCCCTGGGTCTGCCCCGACCCCACCTCTGCGGAGCAACCCTGAAACGCGGGTCCTGCACCCCCAGGGTACACAAAGGGCGTCCCTGCACCCCCAGGGCATGGAGCATCCATGCAGGAGCGGATCCTGTACCTCCAGGGCATGGAACAATTGTGCAAGGAGGTTCCCTGCACACTGTGCAACCCCCCCCTTCCTCCAGCGCCTGCCACCGTCCAGCATCACCTGGATCAACCACACAATCCCCGGGATGCTCCAAGCCTTGTGCCGGGATATTTGGGGGGGCAGGGTTGCAGCAGAGCCTGCAGGGTCGAGGAGGGGAAAGAAGGATGAGGGGGTCCGGAGAACCCCGGCAGGACGGGACCCTCCCATCGCACCCACCTTTGCTGCCATGAGGGAGGAGCGGCCCCGGCACGCGGACGGGCCGGGGGCTGCTGGAACTGCCCGTGTCCGTCACTTCCCAGCGTGTCCCGACCACCTTCCAACGTGTCCGTCACTTCCCAGCGTGTCCCGACCACCTTCCAACGTGTCCGTCACTTCCCAGCGTGTCCCGACCACCTTCCAACGTGTCCGTCACTTCCCAGCGTGTCCCGACCACCTTCCAACGTGTCCCTCACTTCCCAGCGTGTCCCGACCACCTTCCAACGTGTCCCTCACTTCCCAGCGTGTCCCGATCACCTCCTGCCGCTGCAGCCGGGTTTGGGCCCCACTTGCAGCATCACCGGTCCCCAGCAGCCCTGGGGACGAGGCTCAGAGGGTCTCCCAAACTCTCTGCCCATCCAACTAGCCACCTCCCGCGCCAGCCGGGCACTGGACACCTCTGCCAGGCGCCTCCAGCCTCCCCTCCCCCTTATCTCCCTGCATTTCCCCCTGGCAGTGACGCTCCCGGACCTCCTTAGCCGCGGGCAGATGTGTTGGTACCAGGTACAGACATCCCGCCCACCCCCAGTCATTTATCACCTTCCCCTGCCCCGAGAACACCCGCGGCAGAAGAGGGAGGTGTGGCTGGGGAGGTCTGGGGACGCTCTGATAGCAAACTGGTCTGAACTGGTCGGCCCAGCAATGCAAATTCCTGCATCCGCACGGAGGTGAAGACGGTGCCGTGACCTTGCAGGCAGGAACAGGGGAGGAGATAAGGGCGGAGAAGGGAGGCTCCGGCTGAGCTCGCTGATCCCAAACGCCAGCGAAGGAGGGGATGCAAGGGAAAACCCGAAGTGTGAGGGGGAGTAAAACCCTTCCAAGAATCCAGACGAGCCGCGCCGGGTGTGGGGCCGGGGCAGCCCTGGGCCGCTCGGAGCTGGCTGCTTCCCAAGGCTGCTCCCACCGGGCAGATAACACACAGCTCTCCAGCTGGCCCCTTAATGAGAGCCCCTAATAGCCCTAAATCAATTAACTAGCTGGGTGGATCAATTAGCTCGCTGGGATTTGGGAAGGGGATGCAGCAGCAGGGACAAATGTGGACGGACAGTGTGGCAGGACTGTCGCAAACAGTCTGATAAAATAACCGAGGTCGGATCATATGGAAGAAGTAGCTGTGATGAAAAGGTGGAAGATGGGAAAGCACCGTGTGTAGGGTTGTTGGGAGTGTTGTGTTGGAAGTGTGCAACCACAGAAATCCCACCAAGAAGTTACTGGACCATTTATGCTGCTTGGAACCCCCCTTACCCTTCCCTTCCTGATTTGAGTATCACGGATTCCAACCAGGAGAGCTCAGTGGAACTGACCAGGGATTGTTTTGGAATAAAGATCCATAACCTGTGGAACCAGTCACTGTAAAGGTTACATTTAAGAATGGGCTTAAGTAACAGAAAAGAAGTATAAAAATGACACACAGAACACCCCACAAATGTGCAGCTATTGGGTTTGGGGCTCAGCCCTGCCCCTCTGCCTGGGCCGGGCTCCCTCGGCAGGTCTGTCCCCCATTTCCCAGGCACAGGAGCTCGGGAGCAGAACACAGGGGACAGTGGAGGTTGAGGCTCCATCTCAGTGTGTTCATCTGCTCCCAGTTTGCCCAGCAAACGCCCTGGCTCTGCTCCCAGTTCTCCCAGCCTGTCCTGCTGTAACCAGCCGTCACGGTGACCCCGGCTCTGTCCGGGATTGCCTGTGGAACCACGTAATCCAAGAGTATGGAAATGGAGGTGGAAGGGCCACAATTATGACCTGAGCAGCTGCAGAGGTGATGAGTGCCCCGGTCAGCACCGGTGCAGGGTGTTCCTGGGGATCCCGACTGCTCCAGGGATCCTGATTGTTCCTGGGAACCTTGACTGCTCCCAGGACCCCCACCTGCTCCCGGGGGGGGACCCTGAATGTTCCTAGGAAACCCCGACTGCTCCAGGGAACCCTCTCTGCTCCCAGGGGCTCCCAAGTGCTCCCGGGGGGAGCCCCGGCTCTTCCCGGGGGGAACCCTGAACGTTCCCAGGAAACCCCCACTGCTCCCGGGAATCCCACTCCCCCCCGTGGGGCTCAGCTCGGGGGCTGCCCGGCTGCGCAGCGGGGGTTGCCGAGCCCAACCCGGACCCGGGGGGGCCGGGAAGCCCCGCGCTGATGCTGATGCTGATGCTGATGCTGATGCTGATGCTGATGCTGATGCCGATCCCGATCCCGATCCCGATCCCGATCCCGATCCCGATCCCGATCCCGATCCCGGTCCCGGTCCCG